TTCCATGCTCCTGCTTACATACTCTATGTTGACCCAAATCACGTGATCTGAAATTTCCCACCAGACCCCACAAAACCTATATTAAAAAGTCTGATACTTCCCTCCTCTATTCCCCCCTCTTTTTTCTTTTCTGTTACTCTTATTCTTTATGAAGCTCCTCTCCAGGCTTTCAAAAGAAGCTGCTGTTTCCATTTAAGACGCTCATCATGATTTGGCCTTTCTCATATATTGTGCCATTTACTGCTTAATGCTTCACCTGCCACCTTGAGGCCCCATCACAGCCTGGAGGCCCTTTCTCTAAGTAAACCTCACTCCTGAAAGAAATCAGGTATTAGCTTTCCCTTTCTCTGGACTGACTGCTGTTGTTTTATCATTATTTCTTTATTATTATATTTAACATATAACAGATGTAACATAAAATTCTGTTAAACCCTGGTGTATCTTTGTATTTTTAATACAGTAGAGTCTAATAAGATCATCTCACGGTCCAAAGGACTAGAGGTGTTTAGTAGGGTAGAACTATATGACTTGTGTTTTTTGGACCCCAGGTATGGGTACCCAAAACTGACTAAGAAAACAAGTAGAAAGAATTCTAAATTAAGATTCATTTATAGCATCATCATTCATTTATCCTTACTTTTATTGCAGTTTCTTCATTTATAACCTTTTGAAAATCTTCTTCCTCCTACCCAAGCTGTCACTCCCAAACAAACTACCCTAAAATAACTTGAAAAACAAGTCAGAGTTAGGCGGAAAATAAGCTACTATATCACTCACATTAACAGGACCCTAAGTTTTATTCTAAAATGTTTTATCTGAATACCTACAACAGAAAGTGCTGTATTTTTGCATTTTAATACTGCGGTGTGTTTTCGCCCTCTACATGCTACGTTGCCACAGCTAGCAAAGGGAGAAAAGGAGTGCCACGAATCCCGAATCTGGAATTTCAGCTACTACTCCCTTCCATAGATCAAGAGAAAGCATGGCTTCATGATCAGCTTCTAAGAGAAGGTCACCATCCATGATGGGGTAGAACTTTGAGATGATGCAGCTGCTTCAGGACTCTATAAGTAACTCCTCACCTGTGCTGTCTAAAATTTGCAAAAAAGTCAAATGAAATTAAAGTGAGGGCCTAGACCACTGGTTCTCAACCTGTGAGTCATAACCCTTTGGGGTCTAATGATCCTTTCACAGGGGTTGCATATCAGATATTTGCCTTATAATTCATAACAGTAGCAAAAGTACAGTTATGAAGTAGTAGCAAAAGTAATTGTACGGTTGGGGTCCCCACAACATGAGGCACTGTATTAAAGGGCTGCAGCATTAAGAAGGTTGAGATCCACTGACCTAGAGTTTAATGATCATTATTTCAAACTCGCTCTGAGTTATCTGAGCTGAAACAATGATATTCTATTATAATGACAAAGATAAACTATTAAGCCCTTACTTGATAGTAGAATTTATAAAAATTAATCCATAAAGCATGACAAAGCAAGGGCTATACCATTTCAACCTACTGGGATAATTGAGAGATGAAGACTTAAAGGACTTCTTCAAATTTAAAAGTTTACCAGAGTAAAGCTCAGACCTGCACATGTACTTACTTATTACCCCATGTGCTGCAATGAGTTCTCACCAGGAAAGACTTTGTTATGTAATGTCACTAGGATAGGACAGGAAGTCCAGGAGCCTATAAACCATTCTTTTACTTCTTCTTCTTCTTCTTCTTTTTTTTTTTTTTTTTTGGTTTTACGAGACAGAGTTTCTCTGTATTGTTTTGGAGCCTGTCCTGGAACTTGCTTGGTAGACCAGGCTGGGTCTCAAACTCACAGAGATCCACCTGCCTCTGCCTCCCCAGTGCTGGGATTTAAAGGCGTGTGCCACCACCGCCCGGCTAGACCATTCTTGAATGAGTTACAATATTAAACATAGTTACTAAGTGGGTGGAAAGATTTATTCTTGACACAAAAGGAAAAAGTAGAGTAATAAGTCCTGTTCATAGTCATATACTTAATGAAATATCATGCTCCATCTTGATATTTATACAGATTTATGTACATATGAGCAAAAAACAAAGGGTAGTGGGTTGTCTAATGCTAGGAACATAGAAAACAATTTCTCTGCTAAACTAGAATTATCATATGTTTAAATATATTAGGATCTAAAACATTGAGGACATTAAGCTGTCAAATAAGCCAGTAGTGAAAGGAATAATACTGTCTAATTCCACTTTTGCATAGTCAAATTTATAGAAGAAGAGTTGTGAGGTTTACAAGGAATTCAGGGAATGGAGAGATGGGAATTGTTAAATCAGTGTAGTGTTTGAGTCTTACAAGATATAAAAGTATTTGAGATCTTTCAATAATGTGACTATGTTTAATATTAATTACCTATACATTTAAAATGGTTCATATAGTATTTTAAAAAAGGTTTCAGGAATAAAATATTAATCGATATAGAGGAGCAAAGATGTATCTCACTGATAGACTATGTAAGACTCACAATGTAATCCATAGAACTAACAATAATAACAAACTAACTAAAATATATACCAGAAGATTAGTCTCTTTGTATTGCCCAATAAAATAGTCAGTAGCCACAAGTGAATATTAAAATTCAATGGTCATATAAAAGTTGAGAATTTCCTCCCTTATGCTAGCCTCATTTCAGAACTAAACAACAAATGTAACAGACACAAAATATTTTTACTCACAGCAAAGTCTACTAGGACAGGTTCATGGTGTGCATAAACAATCCTAATACAAATGAATTTAATTCAAAATTGTAGGTAATAAGGCATTTCAAATCAGTAAGTTAAGAATCATTGAATAAACAGTGTTAACTAGTTATTGGGACCAAGGAGATGAAACTAAATGCACATTAACAACCTTCCCCACCTTTGAGATAACCTTATTATATAAGCTAGGCTGGCTGTGAACTCCTGGCTTCACTGAGACTGTAGGTATATGCACCATTACCGTGGTTAAATGACATTTCAGCTCTTATTTAGAGATTTAGGAATAAACTGAAACCAAATTTATCCTTTCTTGAGAGGAAAGATTCATTCAATCTCACAGTTTCAGAGAGCTCAATTCATCAGAACAGGGAAAACGTGGTAGAGCAGAAAAGTTCACTACACTGAGCCAGAAAGAAACACTGGATCAACATAGAAGGCCCAGTGTTCAGAACCCCGCACCATGAAAAAAAGCTAAAAAAATTTTTTTAAAAATATATAGACCTAAAAAGTACAATGTGAAAATACTAAAAGTATTTGCATGTAATTCTAGTAAAAAAAAAAAAAGGGCTTTCATAGACAGGATGGCTATGAAAGTTTAGAAGCAAGCTGAGGCAGAAGGATCCAAGTTCAAGGCTAGCCTGTGTTACACAGTGAGACCCTGTTTAAAAATAAAACAAAAAGAAACAAAACAGATAGGGATTTCTAAAAAGAATATAAACCAAAAAGGCAATAATATAAACCCGATTTTTTAAAAAATTAAAGCCTTCAAATGTAAAGTAAAGCAAGTAAACAAACAAATAAGCACATTTCAGATGAATAAATACCAGAAAAACAAAAGAAAATGAGAGGAAAGGTTTCTATTTCTTTAATTAATTGTAAAGCATAATTCAGTGGGAAAAAGAAAAATTGGTGAGTGACAATTGATGAGAAATAAGTCTCCTTATTCCTTATTTACACTATTAGGGATTATCAAAAATCAACCAATAGTATTTATTAATAAAATGCTACTGGCTTTTGGATTGACTTTAAAACAACCCAAAGGGGTAAAAGCCTTACCTGAGAGAGCTGGTGCAGACATAAAAGAAGCACAGTAGGCAAAATTGATAGATGACAGAGCAGGAAGATGTAGACAGTAAGAAAAAGTAGACAGGAGTTCATTATGCTGTTCTTCCTACCTTTGTGTATGCCTCAGTTTTTCTAGTAAATTTTTTTCCAGATATGGGTACTTTCTAACCCAATCAAGTATTTCCAGAATTCCACTTACACAACAATTTAAGTAAAAGGAAATCCTAAGAAGCAATGAAAGCAAAGGCCTAAAAATGTCCAGAGTACTTAGTGCAAAAGCGGTTGAATAAATTATGATTCATTTAAATGCTGTACTGTCATATATCCATATTAAAAAATTTCAAGGTACAGTGGTGCATATTTGTCATCCCATCATTCCTAAGGAGAAATGGAACGTGGAGACAGGATTACCACCTGGAAGCTTGCAGGCCAGATAACCTGCAGTAAGCAATTCAACAACTAAAACAAGCAAGACCCTGCTTTGAAAAAGTGGAAAGTGAGAACTCGGTCCTGCCAGCTGTTCACTGATATGAGCATTTGGGCAACAACCCACTCACATAGACAATCATACTCAAAGTAATTAAAATGTAAAAATGGTATTTAGGAAAGAATAACTAAGCCATATAAACACATTTTGTGCTCAGGTAGAAGAGGGCAAATGCAGTCTTAGTACTGAGATAAGTTTAGATTAAGAGAAAGGAGATTATATAAAAATGTTAAAAGGGGCCTACAGCAATGGATCAGCCCTGAAGATTCTGTACTGCTCTTGCGGAAGAACCAAGTTCAATTTTTAGTGCCCTTGTCAGATGGTACAAAACCACTTGTAACATAATCTCCAGGGGAGCTGACACCCTCTGTCCACTACAGTAATCTATATTCACAGGCACCAACACACGCACACACATCAAAAATATTTGCAAATGTTAGAATACAGAGATTTTTAAAAACAGGTGATACTTAGTATACCTGGAGAGAGTGCCTACAAAGGAGAACAGAATATGTAACAATGAAGTTGAAAGAGCATACATGTTTTTAAAAAACTGACAAAATTTAAAAATAAAATTGGCAAAGAAGAATTTGAAGAAAAATTTGGTGTCATATAGAGCAGGATAGACTATTTCCATGCCTTGCAAATTTTGTTTTCTTTTTGGCTTATTTTCTGTACATTAAAAAAAATAAATAACCCTGTTATCAGTACCTCGTTTCCTGATTCTAGTGATCTCTTCTTCCGTGGTCCAATAGCTGCAAGAGCTGTGAGATTAGCGTCTCTGTATTGGATCTGGGCCAGCTCCAACTGCTGCAACTAGAAGATGAGGGGAAAGAGAAAGTACATGTTTACACAGATGCTCAGGGAGAAAGAAAATGATCATGAAACCAGTTTCTGTATTTATCCCCAAATTATAGAATAAATTTAATTTTGACTCCTTTGCAGTCAAGGGCACAACTGTGATGTCTTGACTCCACTAACTCCTAGTCCCTAATCTTTACAAAGAAGAGACAGCTCAGGAAGAGGAAGTGCAGTCAGAAAAGAAAAGGAAATCAGAATAGTACATGTACACTACAGAGCACAGTTCTACTATGTTGTATGACTTACAAGCTATTCTCTTAACCTTCACAAACACAGTGAAAGGGTAATTCACTGACTCTCAAACAGGAAAAAAATTGCACAGTAAGTTTCTAAGAGATTAGTGAGACTTCAAAGAAATCACCCAATGAAGAGGTAGAACCAATAATTAGAGACAAATGTTACCACTACATTCGCTCTGTTTTTGTCCCCATAGATTTACTCTTTATTTGTCTTCATGGTAAAAATCTTGAGTGATGTAGCTTAGTCTGGAATAGCCAAAACTACAAGGTGCAATTTCAGTATTTGGGAAACAATACAGAAGGTAATCATAAATGAGGTCTTATGAAAAAGGACTTCATCAACATGATTGTGTGAAAATGGTTATGTGGGTTTTTTTTATAAAGACAAAGTAAAAATAAAATGCCACTGCATAAGTCCTTCAGCTTTTCTAGAAAAGGAAAAATGTTCAGTACTCATAAAAACCTTACTAATATGTAAGGCAAAAATGTTGTTGAGACAGAATGACAGTCACACTCCAACAGGGTCAAGACAGTCCACTAAGAAAAACTTACACTGGGAATATTCTTTAGAAAAACCAACAAAAGAACAAGTACGAACCAAAGTTTAAACACAAAACAAGGTGAGGATGAGAGCACTGGGACCATCTGTGAGGAATGGAACACCATCAGCTCATCAAACACTGAATCAGCTCTCACCTTCACCTTAGACATCCTAGCTTCCAGAGCTGTGAGAAATAAAATCCTGTTAAAAATAAGCTAAGGGGTTTTGATATAGCAGCATAAATATATTAGACAACAATTAATCAAAGTAAGTAAACTAGGAATTATATTTATTTGCTCCAAAAATTACAGGACAGACATCCTTTTTAAGCTATAGGTCTTCTTATAAATAAATTGTTAGGTAAGAGTTTTCAGAAGTTGTAAGATCTTTTGTTGCTGTTGGCCTTTTTAATAAAACTATAGTCAAGGGTCTGATGCTGTCACAATCTAGAACTTCTATGTACCCCCCCAAAATTTAATCTACCCTGCAGCACAAATCAAATAAAAATATATTTTAAAGGCCTTCCCTAAAGAGATATGGTATCTTAAAAATAGTCATATCAAATAAGAACTTCCTCCCACCCCTGCAAATAAAGTTTTAAAACTGAACATGTAAATAACTCCTTTATACATAATGTTTTAAACAATCCCCCCAAAAAACCAAGCTAACAAAAATACCTAGAAACTGACCATAGTTTTAGTTGCTTCTATAGTTATAACACTTTCTCAGAAACAATATAGTTTAGCACAAAGCAAAAAAAAAAAAAGAAAGAAAGAAAGAAAGAAAGGAATAAAAAAAGAAACGAAAAGTAAAGAAAAAACAGACACAACTGAACAAGAGAAAGTTCTGGGCATTAATATAGATTTGATATAACTGTAGCTGAAGTTGAAGACAACATGAAGCTCAGAAAAAAATTCAAGAGGACTGAAAGATTATCAATGCATAAAAGCTAAATTACCTATAAAAACAGCAACAACAATCCCCCTTTCTCTCTCTCTCTCTCTCTCTCTCTCTCTCTCTCTCTCTCTCTCTCTCTCTCTCATACACACACACACACACACTGTTATGGCTTATGGCAGCAGGCAAGATGGCTCGTGAATAGATAAAATGCTGGGAGACAAGTCTGATGACCTGAGGTGCAATCCTTGTGATCCACATGGTAGAAAAGAGAATCAGTTTCCCAAGTTGTCTTCCGACCTCCACAAGTGAGTTGTGACTTGATAGTATGTACACACACACACACACACACAAATGTAAGACAAAACAAAAAAAAAAACACAAACCAAATCCCCCCCCCCTTTTTTTTGTTTTTTCGAGGCAGGGTTTCTCTGTGACTTTGGAGGCTGTCCTGGAAGTAACACTTGTAGACCAGGCTGTCCTCGAACTCACAGAGACCCTGCCTGCCTCTGCCTCCCGAGTGCTGGGATTAAAGGTGTGCGCCACCACCACCCAGCCAAAATCTCCCTAATTTTAATGAATGCATTCAGCAAAACTACAAGATACAAAGTTCCCAAAACAATAATAATCATCTTCCCAAATATCAGTAGAAACAGATACACTGAAATTAAATACTGGGGAATAAATCAATTATTTATAGCCATCTCTAGCAGAGCACCCATCTAGTATTGTGAGGCCTGGGTTTAATCCCTAGAACCCAACTTCCCTACCTTATACACCAAAAGGAATTCCTGCAAATTGACTCAATGATCTAATATAATTCCAGTAAGTCTTCCTGATGAATAGGGACAAACTGATTTTAGGGTTTATATGGGGGACAGAGTTATTAATTCAGGAGAGGGTACTTGCTTAGCATACATGGAAACTACTCAGCACTGCAAAAGAAAATGCTGTATGGTAATCACCAGGGCTACAAGGAATAAATAGAACCCTGGGAGATCTCCTGGAAGATGGTGCTACGTAAATGACCACAAAGGATCAGACTGATAGAAGACTTTGGGCATCTGCCTTCCCACCTTGGGAATGCCCCACCCCCACTTTTAGAAGAAAGTACTTCTTTTCTATTACACACAAAATCTGTCCTTATTGCCTGAATGTCTAACATTATAGCCATTCAAAAAAAAAAATGGAGGAGTAAGTGGATATCCATATATAAAATAAAGTTTCAAAACATTCAATCTGGACCTGAACTTCAAATGTTATACAAAAATTAACTCAAGGTATAAAAAGCATAAACTTACATAAAAAGCATAGAGAAAATATTCATAGTTGGAATCTAGCAAAGACTTCTTAGATATGGCATATCTATCCATAGCAGCACTGATTTTCACCAAAATTAAAATCTTCCGATCTGTGACGGATAAATTTAAGAAAAAGAAATGCTAGTTTTATGTCAACTTGATGCAAGCTGGAGTCATTTAATGCTCCCACCAGACTGGACACTGATGTACTTTCTTAACTGATGACTGACATGGAGGGCCCAACTCACTATGGGTGGTGCCACCCCTGGGCTGGTGGTCCTGGGTGGTGTAAAAAAAGCTGGGTAGCAAGCCATGAAGAGCAAGCCAGTGTGTAATGACCCTTCACAGCCTCTACTTCAGTTCCTACATGCAATTTCCTGACTGGAGCTGCTACCTCAAACTCCCTTCATGATGGACTGTGATTGGGATGTATATACTTAAACACTTTCCTCTCCAAACTGCTGTTTACGGTCATGTTTGTAATAACAGCAATGAAAACTGTAACTGAGACAGAAATTGGTACCTACAGAAGATCTTATCATGTGTCTTAGGGAAGATTGTGGAAGGACTTTGGAACTTTGGGCTAGAAAAACCAATGAAAACTCAAGCTTAATGGGCTGTTGTCAAAGAAGCTTGGAAGGTAAGAACACAGAAAGCACTACAGATAATGGAGACTTGGCTGGTGAAGTTTCAGGGAGAAGTCAAGACTTTGCTGAGATAGATCATTTATGTGCCATTCTAAAATAATCTGTAGTTCTGGTCAGTTGGAGCTGATTAACAAAAGACCAGCACCACTAAGTGAAACCTTTGCTTTATTGAGAAAAACCAGTGTTGGTTAGCCAGGGTTAAGAAATGCATAGTTAAAACCCCCCAAAAAAACAAAAAAAAAACAAAAAACAAAAAGCTGGGCAGTGGTGGTGCGCACCTTTAATCCCAGCACTTGAGAGGCAGAGGCAGGTGGACCTCTGTGAGTTCAAGACCAGCCTGGTCTATAAGAGCTAGTTCCAGGACAGCCTTCAAAGCCACAGAGAAACCCTGTCTCGAAGAACCAAAACAAAAATCAAAAAACAAAAAACCCAAAAACCAAAAAGCAAGACATGCATAGTGATTAACAAGGGACTAGCAAAGATTGTAAATCTGGGAGTGCTTCCACAGGAAGGCAGGGAGGCGGTGTGATCCACTGGGGACTGAGGCTGTATTTCATGCTGGCAGCTAAACTTGGTAATGTGTAAGAATCACTCAGATGGTCTGGGCATAGTAGCCCATGCCTTTAATCCCAGAACTGGAGAAAGAGAGGCAGAAGGATCCCTGTGAGTTTCAAGGCCAACCTGACCTGCAGGATGTTGGTCTACATTGAGTTCTAGGAAAGCCAGAGCTACATAGTGAAACTCTGTCTCAAAAAAACCACAGACATACAGACAGACAGACAGACAGACACACACACACACACACACACACACCAGGGAGGGAAAGAGAGTGCAAAGGAGAAAAGGGAGAGAGAGAATATTGCTCAGATGGTACTAATTTTGAAGGCATGAAGGAGTAATGGAGAGTAGCTAAGGCTTATAAGGCTTGGCACTATGTGTCAGGGCTACTGGGGAAGGTAAAGCCCAGTTCCAGAGACCCCAGCATTCTGGAGATGACAGCACCATGGGACAATCCAGGACATGCAGTCCCTATAAATGGCAGAATCAGAGACGTGTGCCTAGGTAATGAAAACTAGGCATTTGAGAGTGAGTAATTTACCTGGCTAGAATTTAGTTTTGCTTTAATCTGATTATGACTGTGTTCTGGTTCCCCCTTCTTGGAATAAGAAGGAATGTAACATATATTTATATATTTAAATATACATATGAAACCCCAGTTGAGAAACTCTGAACTTTTAAGTGAGATTTTTTTTATAGACAACTCTCACTGGGTGGAGCTTATTAGTCGGCTAGACTGGCTGGACAGCAAGTTCTAGTGATCTAAATTTTC